TTTGATGTAACTAGATTGTAACTAACTACTTTTGGGCATAAAATATCAATATGAAAAACAAAATATTTTATTTATTTATTTATTTTAATTTTATTATTTTATTTTATCACATTTCATATTTGTTTACATATTCTGCTGTAGGTGGTCCCATAATCGAACTCCGTTAGACATAACTTCAAATAATAATATGAAATTTCTATCTGCCTTTTATTTGTCCTCAATTCGAAAAAGTATTTGCGAAGTACAGGATATTTAAATAGAAACGCATTTAAAGAAAACAATCTCGAGCTTTACTCCTTAATTACTTGTCCACTTGTTTCAAGTTATCTTTTTTTTGCTAACTACAAGTTATATATTTTATAGAAATCCCGCGAAAAAGATAACTACAAGTAGGTTATCAATTGATAATTTTTTCCTGAAGGGCAAATTTGTAGCATCACAAACGGTACGGATCCGCTCCGACGGATACCTTTATACTGATTTTATTAGTTTCTTCAATCAGTACGCTAATGTTCTGGTTTTTCAAAATTTGTATTAAAGTCCTTAAATAGTGGTACTTTTCTACAGTTTGAAAATATATGTAATTTTTTATATTTTTTCAATTCTACAATCAAACGAAGCAACTAAGGGGATCTTAAGTATAAACTTTGCTTCCTGCGGCAAAGAGAAAAACCGGCTTCTAGTTGAAATTATTTAAAGTGAAGTTCATATTAAAAGTAATTTTAAAATGAAATGTATAGAATTCTTTGACTATTTCAACAATGAAGATGGAAATGAGCTCATTATTGCAATTCAAAAATGTCATATAACATAAAATAATTTACTGGCTTCTGTGTACAATGAAGTTCACACTCATGTTAAAGTGAATAACCAAAATACCAAAATATTGTTTAATACGAGTACTCTGGCGTTTTAAAGTATTATCTGTTACTTACATTCATAATTTTGCTTTGAACGAAGATGTACTTTAAAGTACTGATTTTTTTAACGTGAAGTTCGACATGACGAAGGCAGCGGAGCTAATGTTTTACTTAATTCGCAGCAATACGTTTATGACGTAGTAAAGCTCAAAAAGCTTATCGTCCATCGTCAACACGTAAAGGCAAGCATATTTTCCATAGCATCTTTCGAATACTCCAAGCGCCGTCCCATTGGTGATTGTATTATCCCTGTTTCTATGCCATATACCAGGACCGGCAAGCCTAGTTCACCATATACTGAAACCCCAGATGAATCCACCAACTCAGGCTTAACCTGCGGTAGTTGGTGCATATGGAAAGGTCGCCCTTCTTGTGGTTTGATATGAGCACTCTTTTAGTTAGCCTGTTAACCTGTAGATTGCGATAAAGTTTTATCTTTTTACTTAAGATCTTTTTTATCGATAAAGGGTGATTTGAAATTTTATGAAATTAAAAGCCTGCACTATGCGAGACCTCTCTTCACTAAAAAACGCCTACCTACACGGATTTAGATGAAATATGGCACTTTAATCGCTTATAACTGTGACTAATATTTGGAATATTTTTTAGGTTTTTGAAATTCAATTTTGGGCGTTTCAACGCCATGCGGGTTCACTAGTGAATAACGAAATTGTCGAAAATTCAGGAAAAAACTTGTCCCGGCGGAACATTTCAAATTTAATGCAATATACGAGACATTTGGCAGCGCTAATACATACATACATATGTAGATGTGTGTCTAAGTGTGTAATGTACTTGTGAACATATGAAAATTTCTGTGACTGACTGTTCGCTGAACCAATGTCCCGGGTATAAAAAGTTTGATTTCACTAAAATGTTCTTGCCCTTCTTGTTCTGCATTGGTGACCACAACAAATTAACGATTTGGTACCCCATGGTGTAAATTATATACTTACTTTAGCAGGGAATTATTTATTGAGCCATAAATAACAAACTTTTCGTGCAGATAATAACTATACGTCAACAAAGTCAAAAAGCCAAAGTACTTACTATACTTACTTTACATATGGGTATGAAAATGCATGCCGACATAAAAAGGTATCTCTGACACATATTATGTACATACATGCATACAAGCTTATAGTTTACATTTGGTTTCAGTAAAAAGATTGCCAATCCTTACAAAAATGGTTGCAAGTAAAAAAATTTTAAATATTTTCTTTCGTTGTTATCAAATGCTAAATCTTTAAGGCGCGAAATGCATGCATATAACAAATGCGGGTACAGGCATACATATATATATTTGTACACACATGGAAAAATAACCGTTATTAAGATTGCATATTGACCTGAACTGCACATAAATACATAGAAGTGCCTCATTATGTTTGACTGATGTTATCAACTGCTTGGATATATTTGTTTTTTTTTTTTACCACAAAATATCTGTTATTTGGCCTAGTAAGCGCATATTTTAAATGGTTGCCAAACTACTATAGTACCGTTCTGATTCTTCAATTATCCAAAGCGTTTAATGCTTAAACACATGCTTTTTCTAATCTGGTCACAACCACAGACCGACTCGATAGTAGCTCTTCTCGCCACCAAAATAATTATCAATATATGAGAACGTTTTAAAAAAAATTACAGAGGTACCCCGCAAGGGGTAGTTCTCTCGCCGTTGCTTTGGGCCGTTGTCATCAATGACCTGTTGGTGGCTCTGGAAAGAAGTGGCTGTCAGGTGGTTGCCTACGCCGATGAAGTAGTACTGATAACAAAAGGAAAGTTTCCGGAAACACTGTTTGAACTTATGCAGCGTTACCTGAGCTTGGTTGAGAACTGGACTTCTGGTTGCTAGATGGGTGTAAATCCCAGCAAAACGGAGCTTGTTCTTTTTACTAGGAGGTATAAGATACCGAATTGCCGTCTTCCCTTAATGGGTGGTCTTCCTCTGAGTCTCTCTGACAGGGTGAAGTACTTGCAAATATCCTCATAAGTAGGAGCTTTCACTGAACGTTTCGATACGAGTACTTATTTTTCGATACCTGCTCAGTACTTGGTTCAAAAGTATCAATGCCAAAATTACTTGGTATCGGACGAAAAGTATCGAGTATGTACTTGTATTTACTCGTATCGTGTCATCCCTATAATCGTTTCGGCATACTAAGTTATGAAGCTTTTATGCCGAACACATGAATTTTAATGAAGCTCTGTACATTACCCATCTTACGAGGTAATTCATGTTTTCTTTCAGTTTTTAGTACCGAAATTGTCATCATGGCCAATGTCATCTACTAGTAAAGCGCAAAATGAACACCTCCAACGACACATTTCGTTGTCAGTTGCAAAATAACGGGCAGCCGAAGTTATTTCCAAGCACCAAACTACTCCGAGCGACTGCTCTCCATTACACGTAACTTACTTTGTAAAGCGGCTCAGAAGTACATATGTCTGATACCAAATGTACATTCTAAATTCCTACTTACATAAGGCGTTCACGTCTTTGTTAAAGAAAGGAAGATTCGTCAGTGACGTGGTAAGGACAGTCGGGTGAAGTGTAAGTTGCTGGTAAGGTATTGCCCTTCACCTGGCGGTCCTTACCACTTCCCTCCGAATCTCCATTACTTTAACAAAAGACGTGGCCGCCTTATGTAAGTAGGAATTAAGAATGTACATTTGGTATCAGACATACCTCTGAGTCGCTCGAAGTAGTTCGGCACTTGGAAATAACTTTGGCTGCACGTTATTTTGCAACTGACAACGTAATGTGTCGTCGGAGGTGTTCATTTTGCGCATTACTAGTGGATGACATTGGCCATGATAATAATTTTGGTACTAAAAACTGAAAGAAAACATGGCTTACCTGGTAAGCTCCTTACCTATTTTCCCAGTGGGTTACGATTTATAATCATGTTTTCATATAATCATAAATGGAAATAACAATTTTTTGTCATTTCAACAGGAAATAATCAAAAATAAATAATTTCGCGCTAAAATTCGCGCAAATTGTATTGAACCATAAGCGGTAATGGAATATTTTACAGCAAAAATATGTATTTGCAGAAGTGTGTATGTAGTTGAAAAGAACGGCCAAAAAATGTGTTATGTGTAGAATGTATTTATTAACTGGTGACGAGGGCGAGCAAGTGTGCAGAATTCGAGTCGTCACGTATTCGTTTCGGCATTAGACAACGATTACTCTACTATGATTAGGCGCGTAATGTACGTAGTGCCTAAGGAAGACCTTAAATTTTTTTAATGCGTTTAAAAGCTAAAATAAACGAAAGAACGATAGTGAGATGAATTCCTCAATCTTGCCTTTTTTGAGATATTCAACAAAAATCTACTGACTGAAGAATGCGTCGTTTGTTATTATTTTCTTGTTTTTTATAGAAAATAATCACTAAAAAAACAGTTCTAACGTAACCTCTCTATTTGGCATCATTTATTCCACTGCGAGGCGGAAGCATCAATGCAATGAGAGCATTCGAATGTTGCTCGCATTACCTGCAAACTCAATAGGGGTATTATCGAAATCTTCTGTCGGATATCTAAGGAATACCCGGCACTTCCCAAAATTTATTTATATTAAGGTTCGTCCTCTCAAGTAACTTAACTTTAAAGCTCATTTTATATTTAAAGGTTGCACTAAAATTCATTGTTGTGTCAAAAACCGATTATAGAAACTCCTTACTTTAGACATATCTGTAAATTTTAATGCAACTAAATGTGAGCTTTAAATTTAATGGTTGCTTGAGAAAACTGCCCTAAACTAGTAAGCTGCGCAAAAAGCACAAAATACTGAGTACAGCAGAACTTAATTGCATACAATCAAATTTGCGCAATTAATTGAGCCGTCTGTCCAGGCCAATAGTAAAACGAATGAAGCGTCAATTTTTGTCGTTGTAGCTGTTAATAGATAATTAATACTGTATGACATCATGCTTCCAATTCCTACTGGTATGCTTACTGAAATTCTATTGCACTTTCCAAGCTTTAAATGATTGTCAGCTCGAAGCGATTAGTGTTATCATTTGTTGAGATAACGTTGTGAAGTCATTGGGGTAATATTGCATTATTATTCTGCAATTCCCTTTAACCAAGTACGAGTGTATACAAATTTATATACATACCTATTTGCCATTTCCTGCTGACCAATTCGCTAAATTTCCTTATCTTTACCATATATTTTCAGCCCGATATCCACTGTCACCACAACAATAAGTCTTCTTTTCTAACAACATTCGAGCTCCACTTACATAATTTCAAGTTATTGGTTGGGAATGACTGGTGGCACATCACAAACAAATCAAGCGGAAAATGTGCAAATTCGCAGAATAGAGTTGAGTGACCACGATGAGGTGCTTCAGTTTCTTCGAAAGCATTACTATCTGGAGGAACCGTTGACCATCGGAAGTGAACCAAAAGAACAGGACCCCGAAGATGAGAAATTCAATATGTCACAGTTGGCGAACGGAACCTGCCTGATGGCGGTTATCGAGAGTGGCGGTGGTGAGAAAAGGAAACGCATTGCTGGAGTTCTGATTTCAGGACCAAAGGATAGCAGTGAAGCTGCACACCTATTCGAGGAGGTCGCACGTTTGGGATCCAATAAATGGGGTAGAACTCTTAAGCTGCTAGCATGTATAGAAAGAGACTCCAATGTGTATGAACGCTATAACGTTGCGAAAGCATTGCATGTACATATTGTGGCTGTTGACTCGGCAATACGTGGACGTGCGATTGGTGCTAGACTAATTGAGGAAGAGAAAAAGCTCGGCCGACAGCTTGGGTACCCGTTGCTTACGATTGACTGCACAAGTTACTATTCAGCGAAGATGTCCGACCGACTGGGTATGGATTGCGTAAATGTTGTTAAATATGAAAGCTACCTGGATCGGCAGGGCAAACCAGTTTTCACGCCGCCATCACCGCATGACTGTGTAAAAACATTCGCTACGAGATTGTGAATTTAAAGCTCCTTAGCCAGTACTTATTTTTACATACATACATATTTATAGGGTTGCCAGATGAGTCACGTGGGAAAACAGTACTCTGAATCTCTCGCAATAAGCTTTATGTTTTGAAGTAGTTCAGGTTCTAAAAAACAAATATATTCAATAGAGAATCAGAGCGGAGTCTCTCAGGGCAAGGTCCTGCAATCAGTAAAGCAGGACCAAAAATCAGTAAATGTACATGCTGACTTGGCATTTCCCGTTTTTAAGCAATAAATTGTTGGTATGTAAAACAAATTTTTTAAATTTAAATTGTTGGTATGTAAAACAAATTTTTTAAAGCAGCAAATTAAAAATCCATGGAAAACCGATTAATTCACTGTTGTTGTATGTTGATTGTATTGGGTGTTTGATGGTGGAGAGATTTGGAAATCACTTTTGGTTAGAACATTTGCACCAAGCATACGGACTGAAGTCAGTGCGTATGCCCCGTAAGTATGGTCGTATGCTGAGTTTTCTTGAATATGAGTTCACTGAAGAAGGTGTTTCGCAGAAATACTTTACCAATATAAATAAATTTGGAATTTTTTGCAATTTTGCTTCCACCAATCTATTTCTAGTTCATACTTCCCTGATTTTGTTCTTGCACGTCCTGTTGTATCTGTCGTTCGAGTATCCATATAACTTGAACAATTGTCAGAGTCATTAGCTTTTTCCTCAAAGCATTCCCAAATATCCTCAAAGCTCGTTCTTCAATAGAAGCTTTCACTAAAGGCCCGTTTACATACAACTTAGGCGTTGCGTTGGCGTTGGCGTTGGCGTCGTTTCGACATCTGACTATGAAAACATGCATTTATATGAAAGTCGCCACATAACCAAAGTTGGGCAACGCCAACGCAAAGGCAAAAAAGACAGATGGCCAACTCTCAACTTTTCGCGTGCGTCGTTCGTCAGCTGTTCCAAACAATCAAAATGTGAAATAAATTTCCTTTTTTAACCAAATGCGGGCAAGATATAGTTTTTGATGCAATTATTGATATGAAATTTTGATTTATCTACCGCTAGTACTATATTAATTTTGGGACCAAAGTATCCGCTGCTAAGCGTTCATTGTCAAAGCAACGCCAGCGCCAACGCAACGCCAAAGTTGTATGTGGACGGGCCTTAGTGATATGGGTAATAGCCCGAACATAATGAAAACGACGAGCTACGGACCACAGCTGTCAAATTATTTTCACACGTACACTTATGTATGTAGATAATTATTATGGCGACGACCGGCCGACGCGACGATTGTGGTTGTGGCCAGATTAGATATATTTCTATTTTTCCGGCGACAGATAAGGTTCTTCCTCTTCTTGTATGTCAAACTCATACAAATTCATGATGTCGCTGCCGCGTTCAAAAAAAACATGTCGTCATCGACAAAGCGTTTAGATAATGAAGATAACAAATTGGAAGCTGTGGGCCGTAGCTCGTCGTTTTCAATGTGTTCAGAACTTCACAATTTAAATCAGCGATAGGCAGAGCTATTAATCTGCACGCAACTGTACAAAATGTACAGAGAGCTTAAAAGAGCAAGGCAGTTCCCATCAGTGATTTAATTATATTATAAGTTAATGGTTGACCTAACAAACTATAAAGCTAGAGAAGATTTGGGGCTGCAAATTTTGTGTGGAGCAGCATGGAAGAAATATCTCATTCCACATGGTGGTAAAGTATTTGCACGTCCACAGAATTGAGCAAGATAACTGTTCGTGTATTGACTGCTCCACTGAACGTTCATTTAGAAGCCTGGATACAATGCCGGAAATGTATTTTTTATGCCACATAATAGGAATCTCTTCAAACAAATAAATTCGACGAAAGTGTACATTACTAAAAATTGTAGCGGCTGAGGATAGGGTAATCCTTTTCAGATGCACGGACCCCGATATTGTTAGCTTTTATCAACATTTCTTCACAAAACTGTCGTCGAAACTCTTTCAACGGAAACGTGAAAAGTGCCCTTAAGGATATAAAAAATGGACTTGACAAAAAACTAGTCAATTGTGTTTACTCATCACTTGTGTAAAACTAACTGTAAATAAAGAGTAGGTGTACACATTCATAGGGGTATGTTGACGTTCAAGGCGACGTTGTTAATTTCGTTTATCTACTTTTTGTAACTTCTACTCTTCAAAATGTGTGCGGCGAAGTGTGAGCTTTCGGAGAAAATTTTGTGCAAAAACCATGATACTTTTCACAATAGGGGTATTCTCTGAGTCTTGCAAAGCCCTTGCACGGTGCACAGATTGCACGGATTGCACGGTAAAAACCGGTTTTCGTATGGGGCAGCTGTGCAAACCGTGCAATCCGTGCACCGTGCAAGGCCTTTGCAAGACTCTGAGAATACCCCTATTGATACATTGACATGATACTGACATTTGCTGCCAAAAATTGGATTTGCTCACACAAGATCATGGCTCGAACCTTATCCATTCGTCCTGAAATATACTAGCCAGAAATGCAATTGCTTTTTGAAATATGAGTGTTTTTACTCGTTAGAAAATAATTTATGCAACCTCAAATACGCGGTCTTACATTATCTTAATACGCGGTTTTGCATTTTGTTGATACGCGGTTTTGTACTTTAAACGACGATATGTGAACGAGGAAACATACCTCGAAGCAGCCTTTAAGCAGATTCGGGGCGCTGAGTTTTATAATACAACGAAAACAAATGGAGTCCAAGATGCCTTCAAGCTAAAAGTACTGAACAAGTTCCTTGTTATTTGTTATTTTTTGCCCTAATTAATACTTGGTGTGGCAAGCCATCTGCCAGTGTGGCACGAGAGTAAAAAATTATGACCACGGTCTCCATAAATCAAGAAATTTGTATGAAGGAGTGTTTGCTGTCGTTCATAAAGCAACATATAAGCTCAGTTCTCTTCTGCCCCGATTTAGCATTGTGCCATTACAGCCCCTTTGGCATGAACTAGTATGTCAGTCCGGGGTATATATTATTCAAAAGGACCACAAGCTACCAATTGTTTTTTTGTTTAATATAGTAAGCTTATAGAAGAAGACTACAAAGCAGAAAACTCTTTTCGTAGGCTGTGTAATAAGTGGTTATAATGATTTTCGGCTGACCAAAATATTTCGTGTCCGTTCTTTATGGGAAAATATCCCTCAAAATATCATCTGGAACTTAGTTCACTAATTAAATATAAGGCTTAGAGCCATACCAGATACCGAAGATTGCTAAACTTAATACTAAATTGTATTAAATAGTTAACTTTTTAATTAGTTAATCATTTTAAACTTGTTTAGTCTACAAGTTTTTTTTTTTGGATTCGAAAAGGGGAGTTTCTTTGCATTCTTTAAGTTTCAGAGCCAAGCGTAGTTATTTGAGATAAATCTTTATTGTTGGCAAGAAACCGAAGTATCAGTGTTTTAATTATTTTCTGTTTTACCTAAATAGCTAAATAACTAACGGCAGATATATTCAACCTTGAAGATGCGTACCTTCAATGTACAACTTTTTTTGGTTCACTGTATGTTTTGTCTAAATATTGTGATCGTAATGATTTGTCCATCATTCATGAAAGTTTTTGAATTCGAAATTTGAGAGCGATTTTTAAAGTAAATCGAGGTTGTTTAAAACAGGAAAATCAATAGAAGACGGGTTTTTTGCGTACAGCCCATCTGACCTTAAATGAACGCATTTAGACTAAAATAATAAAAACTATTTTACGCGTTCAAGTGATCTTTACAAGAGTATAGCAGAACAATTCTCCCTTCCCCCCTCTCAAACTGCCAATGCAAAATTCAGCGGCAGTGATTAATGAGTTTTTTATTTGAATTTAATATGGCTCCTGACCAGTGCTGCCATTTTAGACGTTTACCGGCGAGATTTAGCCGATTGCGATAGCGCAAACAGCCGGAGAAGTTTCGGTTTAGTTTTTAAAAACAATTAGCCGTTTTTAGCCGACTATTTGCCATGTTTTCTTAAAATTCAAATATATATGATTCCATTTTTGACTATGCGACCCAAAATCTGTTAGAAATGGCTACTAGCCTTATCGCGGAGAAAACTTTCATGTCAGGCAGGGTTGTATGAAATTGGGCCGATTTCGCTTACTTTTATTTTAAACGCATATATTTTTTCTGAAGAAGGTCGTAGCGGGAATTTCCTTCATAAAATATGTGTTATGAATGTCTTAAGTTTTAGTGTGAAGTTTTATTCGCAAATTTAGAAAATAAAAAATTGTTTCACTGTTTGCATATTCAATTCTGCCTTAATTATAAAACATTGTTGCCCACTCCTAAAGGTTTAAGGTAACGGAAAAGTGGATAATTTCAAGCACTATGTACACGTACATATGTATGTATTTTTTTAAACAAACTTTTTTGCTGAGAACTTATTTAAATTCCAAAACCGAAGGCCAACTTGAATTAAAAGAAGAAAGAAAGAATGCGTCGAAATGAAAATAAAAGAGCACAAATTTCTATGCAAGACATCTGCCGGTCATATGATTGGTCATCTGAATGAGAAATCTGCACCTTTTTGGCATCATATTTTACATCAGAATTTAAGGGATTTCTGAAAAGTCTGACCAGTTCTTTTGTGTAAATGTGATTTTGCATTCCTTGTCAACATATGGCACCGGTTGATGTTAACTTAATGCTTTGTTTTACTGCCTTAAATTTATGTGGATTGGTTTTTCTTTGAGTGTATTGAGAATCGGTAAGTCTGAAAAGTCCTTTTATTGTAGCGAAGAATAGGTTTGTTCGTCGAAAATTCAGCGCGAATTATCACTCAAAATATGAGATAGTAGGAGTGTACTCGTACGCCCAACTATCTAAAGTTTTAGAAAACTTTTACTGGTCTTGCGTTCTCGTACCCAAAAAACTTGCAAAGTAGGGGAAATTGGGAGAGAAAAATATGAAAGAGAGCTGCAAATTTCTGCTGGAAAAAATTTTCCCAGCTAAAACTTGCAAGTAAGAAAAACAGCTGATCACAAACACATGTTTGTAAATAAACAAAAGAAAATATGGCCTTTTTGAGTTATTTATTGCAAATTTTATCATTAATGCTAGTATACAACGAAAAAGTGAGTAAATTGAATAAGCGCAACGTTTGTTGAGTTTATTTTTCGTTAATTTGCTATTAATCTCCAGTTTGTTTATATTAGTGTATGCTGACTATGGTTGCCGTATGACATTTTTCGTTTGTACCATAATTTTCATTTAAATATACCAAAATAGATTTAAATGCGTATGCTGAAATGTCAGTTGTCAGTTGTCAGTTTTGGTAG